TAAACATCTGAATAAATATGTCACGCCGATCATACCGACGGCCGGCTATTTTACGATAGGCGCACGTGTCTATATAACATTGAATTATTATTGCCTTGAATTTATTTACCTATAAAAAGGTGCAATTTCTCCTGGACTGTGATAAACTTTCTTTCACAGTTTTACAAACCATACAGTTGCGCCATGAACGCACTTGTGCAGAGCAATGGAGGGGTATTCGCGGGGAAGCGGGCCGCGTCCAACAAACACGCCAAAGGCAGTACAGCATATAAAATATTTTTGAATACGTTCAGTGAGTTCCACGAAAATCGCCGTATGCATATGTAAATGGGTACACAAACTGTTCTCTATACGATTGTAACAAGATATCGAAATGCGAGCTTACGAAATAAGATTGAAATTATTTAATTGAAATTGGAACATAAATCGCGGCCATGCTTTCCCTCATTATTTTATGAGTAAATTATTCAATCGAATGCAAATACTTATTAATAAATACAACGAGTACTTATTTTGCGTGTGGTACTCGTATACCTTAATATCATACGTAGTTAAATACAATAAAAGAAAACTGAAAACGTTTTAAAATAAAGCGTCACGTAAACATTTCGCCCCTTTAAAAAGTAAGTGACCCAACACAAAATTCCAACTCTTTGCGAATGAGGAAAATAAGATTTGAAATTGTGACATTTTCACATCATTTAATTTATTACTCTTGGAATTCTCATGCGGTTGGTCTGGGAGTATCAGATCTGTGATACATTGAAGCACTGGAACTTCACACTAGTGGGTTACAGAGGCATGCGGTATAACCTAATGTAATTTTTTTTTCCTCTGACAACCTTTTTTACTAAGATCTAAGTGTTAAGAAACTAACAAGAAATGGACAAAGTCTGAAATATTTTATTTTGATTTAATTTGCAATACTAAAATTAATGGTAACAGTAAATTAGTTATGGAAAATTAAACGTTCAGCTTCATAACAAAAAATTGTTTCTGTTTATTTTTATTTGAACAATTCAAAAATATTTTACTAAAACTAGTTGCTACAAAGTCATTTTTTTGTATAAAATTTGTTTGTTCTCACTTGACCTAACCTGGATTAAAGTCTTTGTCATTTTCATTGACTAAGCAAGATGTCATGACTCTATAAAAATTTAAAAACGGTTCAAATTGCAAATCTGTCACTTTTTTCGCCAACGGCGGTGGCGTGTCGTCATTGCAGAAGCAGATTCAACACAAAATACAACGTTTACATACCGACGCGGAGTGGAATTTTAAATGAAGGAAACCCATGTATTTAGTCTGTGCCATTCGAGCTTGAATGAGTCAGTTCCAGATTAACAATCTACAGTCTATCTTTTTTGAAGATGGATTAAAATAACAGTTCTTTGCGCGTAAGTGTTGCCTGCTTGCAAGAAGCTAGTAGAATATCGACTGTATGTTGATCACGTTTATGCAATAAATGGCGGAATTTGTTTCATTTAAATCATTATGGGCCTATTATTCGTCCTAACTGCTGGGCACAAGTGCATTTGATTTTTTTTAAAGTAAATGAATTGACAATCTTTGTAAGTTCATACACAACTACACTGCATTTAGAACTGTCTATTAAAAATACAAAAAGGAGACATGTTTAAAAGTTTTTCATTTCAATTCAATATAGTTACGAAATCTGTCTGTTCTTGTTAAAATGTGTATGGATAAAAATTAATTTCGATTCTAGTAGGCCAACTGTCAAAATAAGAATGAAGAAGAATCTTTGGCAAAATTTTACCGTCTCTCACAATTTATCGATAAAACTGTCGACAACAACTACATTACTATTTAAAATTTTATGAAAACTGACAACCCTGCAAATGTCTTTTTACTCCGTCCTCAAAGAAGACAGACTATAATGAATAACGATTTTTCAAGTCGTTATAAAGTCGTTTTTTAAATTAGATCACTTTAATTTTAAAGGTGCGACGTGGTAGTGCAACGCATGCAAATCTTTGTAACTTGTTTATTATTGTTAATAAACTATTACCTTATAATAATAAACTTTTTAATTTTCATTTGCATTTTGTGACAACCCTTGCTTATCTGCGTAATTCACCGAAAATCAAAGGCGTTGCTGTAGGGAAGATGTAATACTGTGGCTCTTTTCATTGGAGAAGATACAGTGTTGCCATATACAAGGTCTCAAAGAATATCTCCACAGTGATCGGACCAATACCAATTAATCCTAGACGTTATCAATTACCTAATTTAGTATTTAGTAACAAACCGCTTAGTCTGCATCCTTACCGCGCCCAATATCGGCACACGGTGAATGCAAAACAAATATCATCACAATATGTGGTAAAACAAGTAGGCCGTTTTATATTTTTTTTTTGGTTTCGTATTTTGTGTTTTTTTTTGTTTATTCCCCTAATGTCGATTGATCACGAATTGTGTTCCATTTAATATAGTCTCCATAATTATTTTACAATATTTAAATGAGATTATTAGCATCTATTGTTTTTCATATTTTTCTTATTTATTTTCGATTAAAAAAGTGTTTTATATTTGTGTTAGATTTTTTTGATTAATTATTTTGATGTTTTAAACTTAACTTCTGTTCTCAATCGACAGCAAGTCGATTGTAGAGGCGGCAGCCACAGGGTAAATTTTGAGTTAAAAGACATTCCTAATGAAATGGACTGTTTTGTATGCACAACTCGGGAAATGGCGAGTGGACACCTTTTAGGTCTCAACGTTTAGTCATTAACGTTTATTTTATGTAAAAACACACCAAATAATTTTCTTTTTCTTTTTTATTCTTCTTTCCAGCAAAAAGCGACACAATTCGACGTAACGGGAATAATTGTTTTTTTTTATCTTTGTTTTTTTTTTATCTTTGTATTTTTATTTCGCACAACATATTATTATTTGTAACGACAGTATATACCAGAGGAAACGTGTAGGTCGGCACAGTAGTCCGATGTGGTATTCTCAAACATATACAGAAACACGTGTTCGACGAAATATCATTCTACTTAGAAATGTCAACCATCTACAAAATTGGTTAGAAATGAGAAAGAAAGTCACATATATAGAATACTCTGCGATGGAATTCGAGATCGTAGACGGGATTAAAAAAGAAATTGTATAGTTTTCTTGTTTCAATTGTGCTTGCAATAAATTGAAACAGCTAAACTAAAAAAAAAAACAACATTAAATCGTGTCGATTGCAAGAGATTTCATCGTTACGTTAATATTATGACACGAAATGATTCTTTAAGTTATTTAATGCAAAGGAATTTTTTCTATAATAGTTTATTACTCTTAATTAAAAAATGTTTACGATCTATGAGCTGCCACTTTGACAGTGACAGGTGTTTGTTTACGTTTGATTTTATCTCGACTTCCATCTCAGAGAACCGCATATCATAAACACATAAAACTTTATCTACCGACACAGGTATGGTTACATAGCTTATTATCTATACAAAGTTACTTAGTAAATAATTAGACCATTCTTTTATGACTTGTTCTGTAACTACAAGCAGTGAAATAAGTGACGGGAGTGTGACAGACAGAACTTGCGGATATTTAATTTCTATCGTCCAGATCATATGGAAAAATCACGACATCCAACTGAAAGAAATTTGTAGGCATCGTTACAAGATAGCCGTGAAATGCAATGTGACAAGTTGTTACACTCGCGATGACCAGCAACCCGTCACAGTGTCGCCTGTCACTTACAGAAACAAGTCCTACCCCAAAATTTGACATTGTATACATTCTATCAAAATGGTACGCACCTTGTTACTTCGCTTAGCAAAAAGGGGTTAAAAATTAATACATTACGTATAAAAATATAATATAGTAAGTATAACTTTTCAAAAATTATACAAAATTCTAGGAGTCGAGATTTTTTACAGAAACCCTGTTTCAAAAGGGTTTTGCGCATTACTAGATTTGGAGGACAATCCCGTGATTACATGCCCCGTGGCGGATTAAAAGCTTGCACGCTTTTATTTCGTAACTTTTTCATAAATTTGTCCAATTCAAAATCAATTGTAAAAATATGATAATGACTTTGTTGAAACACAAAATTATTTAGCTGGAAAGGTATAAAAAAATTACCCCCTAAATATTTTAATTATTTTTGACACTCTCACAATCAAGACGAATCTAACGACACCTCACATGTCAACATCCATCAAGCCGTTTAGGCTGTACAGGGAAACATAGAAATGGACATACATACACTCGAAAAACATAACCCTCCCGCAGTTGGGTAAAAAAGAAGTTTAAAAGAATTGCGTGCGCGTTCATTGTTAAGTTTGCGGCTCCCGAAACTTGTTTCATTCGAAATAAATAACAGCAACCATTTCATGTTTTGCAAACAATGTCAAGCCACGCAATGTCATGACAAAGTACAGGTTCAACAAAAAGAAAATTTTAGGCAAAGATTGCTAAAAATCTGACCCAGAAAAAATAATCGAAATACGGCAAGCATTTAATCCGCCATCAGCGGCTGCAGCACTGTTCGGACAATACAAATGTGTTGTAGATAAAGAATCAGGACGGTATGTAACATTTTTAACACGAGCCAGAAAATCTTAAACGAGTTACAAACAGTTCTGAATTAAATAAAAATAATATTTGGAATTGTCGAATATTTTTTTAAAATTTAGTAGCAGAGTGTATTAAATTATTTACCGCATCTAGTTATAACAGTGTTTAATCATGGTTATTATACCAGATGTTAAAGAAAAAAATCTTAATCGATCTATGATTTTTTTATTATATCAAGTGAAGGGACGAGCGTCGTGCGCCTGATGGTTGGCTACACGCCTGTCCATAACAGTTGCTGTGCTACTCAGAGCTTTAAATCGCAAAGATCTGAGGGGCACTGCCACTGCGCCTGTCACCCAGAGACAAAAGTTGACAAGCCCCATATTGCTTGCCCGTAGCTGTCCGGTAATGTATTGGTTTTACCATTATACACTCAACTTTTTGTCTATGATGAATATAACATGACGAACACAGATACCCATATCAAATTACCGAATTTCAAATTTAAAAATAGACAAAACTATATCTATGGTCACAGATGTGTGGCGAGGATTCTGAGGTCAGTATAATGTGCTGTAGATCCTCCCGGTCTCACGTTTGTGGAATACGTAATTTATGAAATAAAATTAGCACAGACCATTAGTTAAGTTATATACGAGGACCGTGAAAGTAGAAAAGAAAACAAAAAAAAAATTAATAATTTACACAATAAAAACCGATAGCGATTGTCAATTTTAAAACAGAAGATAACATTTCCTTAAATGGTAAAAAGCGGAATAAAAAAGGGCGAAAATTTAAAAATGTTTTAATCGATTAAATTTGTAGATGATTAAATAAATTGAATTAATAATAAAATTATTTAGTTGGCAGTGCCGCAGCGCTGATATACCTCCAACTCGTACAATAATTACATGGTATATTAACATTAATAGAATAGAAGTGTCGAACACAAAATAATAATACTAATTATCATGTGACATTTTATTAACTAAACATGTGTAAGTATATGAAGTTAAAATCAATCGAAGTGGACACATCATCGGGCGTATTTCGTACCATAGGGTAGTTTATACAATTCTATAATGCTTATTATGTGTAGTGTAATTAATTATTCATCGGAGCAAGAGAATTTAGGCGAAGATAACGTCATTAAATCGTAACGGTCTTAATATGTAAACATGAATTTATTGATTACCAATTTCTGGGCTGGACACTCTCTTGCTTGCGTTCAGTGTAAGGATGAAGAAGAATAATGCACAACCAGTCATTCAAATGTCACTGTGGCTCCCGTAGTAGGGAACACGAAATTTGGTTTTATATACAATCTTATGTTCCATATTTACAAGGAAACAACATAATTATTTTTGGTATATAATAGTACAGAGTGTACGAGGCTACGCACAAAACAATATTTTTTTTAATTAATACAGATTTTTTTTATGTACAAAGATTAAAGATGCAAAAATTTATTTGCTGGTATCGATCATTTTTGTGGACGTAGAGACGTTGGGGGCTTTTAACATTATATAAAGCACTCTGAAAAAAAAAAATACATTTCTCGAGTTTTTAATAATTTCGTTGCCCAAATAAGCGTAAGAATAATAAGAGATATGAAAAAAATCTTCAACATTTATTATTTAAAAAAAAACAAATTAAGTTCTTTTTACTTAGTATATACCTATTTCAATCTTAAACCTAAGGACATTATTTTTGATCATCGTTCAGAACGACTGTACCAATAATTTAGAGTCATCTAAACACTAGTTAAATTGAATCGTGTCAAGCCCACACCGTCTCTGACATAATGTGGCAAAGAAATGTAACGGAGGAATCGCACTTTTCCCAAACACGGTATGGTCGATTCTACGGTTCTATGGACATTGGCTGTTTACAATATTGCCTGTCCGTGGTTCGGCAATTATAGTACCGTGAAGTTATAGATGACACGGGTGATAAAATTATACGCTTAAGTTTGAACAGGTTTTGAGGAAGACAACACACTAGGGCGCGTGTTGCACGAGAGCGATATAAAGCGCGAGATACAGCAGTTCTTGCGCAAGTTGCGCCCTACCGTGAAGCCCTACTGGTGTGATTTTCGCTATGCTACATGAGACAAGAGAGCTGCAGAACATAGTGTTGCGCTTGTTTCTCGGCTTCGCCTAGATCAAATTTAATTCTCTGGCGAAGGCGCAACAATAATGTAGCATTTTAATCTTTGTTAGTCTACGTTAAATTCACAATTACAGTTAGCATTATTATATTAACGTAACAAAGTTTTTTAATGATATTTGAATCACTTCTGTGCAGTTGACGAGGTATCTCTTCGAAGCAAAGATCTTTGAGCCTTTTTTTGCGCTATTCAAATGATTTTATCAAGAAATATACTTGCGTGTTATTTAAAAGTCCAAAACAGTGTGACAAAAAAATGAATGAAAATGTTGCTATCCCGTAACAAGTCTTTTCATCTTCCCGCGTAAAGCGATGACAGTCTGCAATCATGGACCCACTTATTATCCCTCACACTTAAAATTTCATTCGTAACGTGTAACGGAAGCCTGAAATCTTTCCTTATACAATACCCCCCTCTAAAAGTCCTTCTTCGGACCAAATAAGCGTTACAATTTTGAAAAAGTTGATAGAAAAGTCACTGATAAGTTAAAGCTTATCTTAAAGCATTATTTCGTGTGTATAGCATACAATGCAGTAAGGAAGTATGGCACAGATACAAACCTCGTACCAAAAACTTCTAATATCAAATTGTAACTTACCTTAGATGCACTCAAAGAAAAAAGTATAAGTAATAAATAGACTATAAAAAAAACAACCTTAAAAAACAAAAGCCTTATTATATAAGGCTTGAATATAAAAAAATAAAATCAAGACGCAAGACAGGAGCTTTGATCATTATTCATAAATACGATTAGGTATACCTTATTGATTAGAATCGTTTAGTTTGCATCTTGCGTCCGTTACAACCACGACAACATAAACAAACTGTCACACCAGAAACAACTAAGCGTCGGCAATTGAGGTGTTAGTTGAAACATATAGTCGTTAGTTGCGCGTCGTAGGACTCTAGTGTTCTGGTGTGGCAAAGTTGGGAACGAAGATACCAAGAAGTGTGAACGGTACTGAAAAGTTGGTGGATACAGCTTGACTGCGAATTTACAGAAGGGCGCAGCGCCTCTTGCGGCCGGAGCGGTAGTCCGCCTTTACGTTGATGCGCTCAGCCTCCTGCAATCACGCAAATTTTAACGTGTCGTCACCGCGTAACACCGTGCTCGGTGCCAATGTACCATAGTATAATAATATAAAGTTGCGAAGCGCCATGTACGGACTCACACATTCGCATAACCTCGCGGTGCACTCGAGTTGCACAACTAGGTTCATCCCACGCGTCATTATTTTTTTCTTATAATATCAAGTGACGGGATGAACAAGTCGTGCGCCTGGTGGTGCGACACGCCTATCGTTATCGATAGGCGTGTCGCTTATCTTTGCGATTTAAAGCAAAGATCTTAGAGGCACTGCAAGTGCGTCACCCTGAGATATAAGTTGTCAAGTCTCATGTGCTAAGTGCAAAAAATCTTCTTTCTTAGTGTAATTATGTATATTATTATGGGCACTTTTTGACTTGAGTAAACGTACTGTGATCCCACAGTCACGTTACCAGTCTCCTGAAACTTTTCTTTGAGAGAAACCCGAGAACGTAAACGGTACCCAGAACGAATCGCTTGTTTCTGTAACAGAAATATGGTTTCTATGTCTGCATCTGTACCCCACATGACAATCCCGTAGGACATTATACTAAGGAAATAATGTGACAACCCTAAGCTCCGAGCGAAGTGAGCGAACAGGCGGGACTTGCACAACTTCTTTTAGTACACTATGCTATTGCATTAGAAATAAGCACTGTGTAAATTGTGGTACCTGGAAACGGCGTACGAGACGCACGAGCTCGTGGAACGCCTGGTCGACGTTCATGCGTGCCTTGGCGCTGCATTCTATGTACGGCACCTTCAACTGCCGCGATAGGGCCTGCGCCTCCTCCAGCGATACCTGTCGATTAATTTCAAAGGTCAACTTCTAGCCGTAAAAAAAAACAAAGTAACATTAGATATTACTACATACGCTTAGAGAAATGTATTGTGGGAGATTGGAGCCCCAAACTAAGCAGAGCTTGTAATATGGGTTCCTTTCCAGGCAACCAACACCTAGGATGTCATGTTAGTGGCCTATAAGAGTATATAGATGAAATATATAATTTATACCTAAATAATAACTAAAACAAAAGAGAGAGAGTGCGTGCGTGCTTGTAAGTGTGTATACGTGATGTTATTTTACTGTATAAGAAAGGGTCTAAGAATATAAAAAAACGCCGAGCGGTAGTTGTCGAAACTAATTCTGGAGGACATATATTTTTGAGTCGCGAAGCCAGTAGAGATGGAGCGAAGGATGTCTGAGTGTGTTGTTTCAAAACAGTAAACAAAATAAAGAAAAGAAGAGAAGCTTCGGTAAATATCGACATAAATATATTATAAGTAAGGCTGCTAACAGAATGACTGATTTGCAGTCAATGCTTGAAGTCGTAATCAAGTCGATAACGACTTCAGGCTGTAACTGCAGACTGACCTGACTGAAAAGTTCGAACACGTACAAAAAAATCCTTCGTTATGGTTGGATTCGACCCAACGTCTTCTAGCAAACCGTGTCGGACGCTAACTAAGCCACGGAAAGAACCAGTTGGCGTTACGAACTTTTCCATGTGCTTGTTGCAATGTTTGTTTTTAACGACTTTTGCCGTGTTGTTAAATTAGAAGTTGTTTCTTGTAAATAAACATCTGTACCTATAATTATTTCAAATAACACAGACCGAGACAACCTGATATCCGTCCTTTTACGCAGAAGGTGCATAATAAAACCTTCGGGATAAAATTCTATCAAAGCCCTTCAAATAGGGTCGTAGTTCCAGTGCTTGTGTTTCCAGTGCAATCCTGACTTGAGCATTGATTAGAGTTCTAGAATACGACCCTCTATCATCTACGTCCATCCTTTTTAATAATATGACAGCAGTCATACAAGTTGCTTTTAGATTTAAGTGTAATTACGTCACCAGTCCACCTAATGATGAACTTCGTGGCATAAAACACTACAACTACAACTAGGTTAAAAACTACGAGGTGGTGAACACTAAGCGAACTATGTATAACGAGTAAGCAATTCCACGAAGCAAACTAACGCTTTGACTAAGTCTTTGAAACGAGTTCTGAAGTTGCGATTGGCGAGATGCAAAAGATGGAGCCAATCTTAAAACTTCATTTATTTGACTTTCTGTCTAATTGAATTGCACATTAATATACTTGCTGGAGATGTGCGCAGGCTGCGAATCGTCGGCGGCGGCGTCTGATGGTTTTCGTTAAAAACTGTTTTAGTACATAAGTTTTTTACACTTTAACTTGTACAACAGCGGCACGTAAATGGGTACAGTTACTAAGAAAATAATGTTTATAATAATCTCAGTATAGAGTACTAAAAAAACCGACCTCAAAAGTACGTGAAATTACGTCTATTTGCTAAGTTTCATTGAAATATCCCCTAGTTCGCCACTATACAGGACTTGATACTGGAGATAATAAAAATAGGTTCTCACTACTCAAAGTATATTGAGAGAAAAACGCCTTGAATTGGAGAAATAGCAAAATCAACCATTAAAGTAATTGCTCCTAAATTAAAGTTAGGCGCTATTTATAAAAATGAATCTTCATGCGTGAACAGCCACCCTTTGAGGTGGACGATTTCCTTCAAAATGAAATGGGACCACTATGGAAGTACCCCCTTTCCAACAAAAAAAGAATCATGAAAATCGGTTCACAAATACCGGAGTTATCGCGTAACGTACATAAAAAAAAAAGAACATACAGACGAATTGAGAACCTCCTCCTTTTTTCAAGTCGGTTAAAAAAAACAATCACATACCTTATTTATAATTTAAAAAGTTGGTGGTATTAATGTATTACAAGTTTTAATGAAATCGGCCAGCGGAAAGTGCGCGAAACTGGATTTATCCCTTAGAGAAGGAACATTTTCTTCAAATTTAAATGGGACCAACACTGAGGTACACCCTTTCCAACAAAAAAAAGAATCATCAAAATCGTTTCGCAAACGCCGGAGTAAACACGTAACATGCATAAAAAAAGTACAGTCGCAATGTGAACCTCTCCTTTTTTTGAAAACAAACACCACGGTGCACGTATTTCTGGGTTATCAATATCATTTTCTAAGTGGTTCTATCGCAAAAGCATTAAAAAAGCTTTATTTACGCAACCATGCTCGGGAAATGTTTGCATTACTTTCAAAAAACGAACACGGAAAGTTTGCCATTTACCGTGCGACTTCCTCCCGGCCAAGGCCTGCAAAGTAAGTGTGAAAATCCATTACATTCCCTTTCTCTTTATTAATAATGAACAAAAAAACCAGTGTTCATAGTTGCGAGAATTAAAAGGAAAAATGCCTACATAATAATATACTGCTTACGTAAAAAAAAAAAGAAATTGGCATACGCTTCAAGTGTTTTCGTATTATTTTGTTTTTAGTCTTTTATGTATTTTGGTCGCGAAAACGAGTGTTAGTGAGAAGAGCGTTAACGAAAATACAGCGATAGATCACATTCAAACACATCAAATATTACTTTTAATGTTTTTTTTTTACTTTATCTATTAAACATCTTCCTCCCTTTAGTCTTTTATTAATTACTCATACTGAGAAAAATTCTATACATGTCTCGGCGGGAACTGGAGTTGCTTAACTCGTAATAATACAAGGCCTCACTGGCGCTCGTCCTTGTAATTCATACTCGTCAAGCAATCCCTTACTTCCCGGCCTCTGCAATAATGTGCTATTCTCTGTAAAAATTTTGTTTTTTTTTTTGGAAACGTACAAATTTTCGAGTTGTTTTTACTTAAATGGAACATATTCGAATAATTAGTATATTTTAACCAAAATTTTACAAATTCATGACAAGGAACCACTATGCAGCTTCGCAAATACGCAGCTACGTGAATGTCACTGCAAGCGCCACAATAGCGAAGCTTCAGGGGTATAGTTGCTCTTTTCGACATACTTAAAGCTCAATTAAAAGGAAACCAATAAGAGAAACCAGAAACGGAAGCCTTTTGATAATTTATTACACAGTGTATTTGAATTGGAGGTACTTTTAATTGGACGGAAATATTGTATTGAAATTTGATAAATAATTTTTAATACAGTTGCTCAAAACGTGGTATTTTTCGCACTACAAATCGTGCGGAAAGTTGGATTTCTCGCACTAGTGCTTTTTACTTTTCCAGTTTTTTTTTAATTTACTGTTGTTTTAAGTCTTAAACATAGAACTAAAGAAGTTGTATATTTATTTAATATTTATGTGCTTTGTGACGTACATAAGTCATTCGTCATTAAAACTTATATTTATTTACAAATACTATATAATGAACGTGTCGAGTGGAGATCCACAGTCTCTGCCTACCCCTGAATGGGTGACAGGCGAGATTTTTATGTATATATTTATTTGTTATATGTATTACAGATAAATTGTGCACGGGTTCCTAAAGAAGTTTAAACAAAAGTAGCAGGACTTCATAATAAGAAAAGTGGTTACAGACCGATATTACAGAAAATAAACAAAAACAGCACGTTAGAACTAGATTTCCATAGATTTTTAACTAATGGTTGCAGTGGTTGTATTTCATTATTTTAATTTACTAGCAGAAAATGAGTTTTGTTTAAATACTGTTTTATTTTACTTTCAATGTAGTTTTTTCGCAAATGTATTAAAAAACGTCGTTTGATACACGTGCGGATTTGTCATTTTCACTTGTCTCGCCTCGCGTCTTGACCCTCGCCTCTGGCTCGGGCCAAGAAGCCTCGAGACTCGTGAATAATGACTAACTTTCCGCACTTATATCAAAAATAACTATAACAGAGGTTTTTTGTTTAATATGCCGCCTGCATTCCGATACGAATTTGTGCCTCGTCTTCCCACAACACAGTTCCCAAAAATATTCAGACTCGTTCGCAGTGAATGCTGCCCTTATAACTTTAGATGCTAAATTGCAATGGAGTTCACAAATTTTTCACTAAGTTATCGAAACTGTTCAGTGCACGAGTTTTAAAATAAATAAAAAACTTTCGCAAGTCAAACAACTACATTAATTAACTTAACTTACTTTGATGAAAATGGCATTTCACTTTGAGGAAATGCCGCAAACGTTAATGGAATATTTGTCGAGCAGAAGCGCGCTGTTACAGCAATTCACAAACTGGACTCGAGAGCCTCTCAAGTTTAAACGAATTAACATTCTCACTTATTAACTTCAACGGGGTCACAGAATATTTATTGTAATGCAATTTATATTAAGAACAAGTCACTTTTTCCATGTAAAATAGTTGTAGACATAAATAATGCGAATAACAAAAATTAACCGGCTATTCTTCACAGACGATAAAGTTCAACATTTTTCGTCAATTTCAAATAGGTATGGCCGCCATACCAGCATTCGTTGACGGCCATTGACTTGCAAATAAATGGACGACGGGTCTAATACAAAAACCACGAAAAAAATGTCCCAAGTCAAACTATTTAAACGTAGTGACATGTAAAGGTTGAAGAAAAGGCTAAAACGTTGAATTTAAATTGTAATGTCATCGCAGTACTGTCTAATTTTGCTTGCTTCGCTGTCAGTCGAACAAACGAAGACTAAAGCGTGAATGACGCTCTGTATACGATTTTAACGCCCTGTAAGTTCGGACACTTTTTAGCGCGGACCCGACGTCCATATAATTGTAAGTCAATGTTGACGGCAGATAAAAATTTGCTCTAATACGACAAAAAATCGGCATGTAGGTGTTTCTATGGGGTTTTGATAATAATTTGCAATCAAAATTTATTTATTGGCATTTTTCAATATGGCTGCACTTTTTTGGCAGCAGATTAAAATTTGCTCTAATACTACTAAAAATCGGCATGTGGGTTTCTCTAAGAAGAAGCCCGAAGCCCAGAATAC